GCAGGTTTTTGGAGAAAGCTGAAATTTTTTTTTTCAATTTTTATCTTTTTATTTTCTTGTTGTCTATTTAGATATTTTTAAATATCCCCTTTTTCTTTTTTTTAACCCATCCTTTTGTAGTTTCCTATATTTCAGTGGCTTGATCAAATATATGGCAATAACAACCTGCTGGAAATAATATAGTGGACTAGAAGAATTTTTATCCAAAAACACTATAAAATAAAATATTGTTTCCAAGATTGAACTTAAAGGTTTTTATACTTATAACAAGTTAGTTAGATTAGAATAATAGTTTAGCTATAGTATATATCATGCTACTTGAATAAAAATATACTTATATTTTTAATTGATTAATAAATCACCAATCTAGCCTGGCTATAGATACTCAAAAAAAAAAATAGAATAAATAGTTATAGTATTATACCTGCTGAACTTACATTTATTATAAGGGTCCTAGGTATCTAGCATAAAATAAAAATAGGGAAAAAACATTAATAAAAACTAATTATATAAAAAATAATATCATTTTATAATATTTTAATCAGGAAACAAATCACTAATAAAATATATAATTATATAACCAATCAAGTCATTTTTTCTATAATAGAATACCTGTTTTAAGACCTGGTTCTTATACAAATTGAAAGTTTGAAGATAGACAAAAAAATTAAAAAAAGTTTTAAATAAAGAGTTGACTTGGCCCTCTCTGCATTCAATATCATAATATACTATATATGGATAACTTCTATGGTATTATAGAAATACAGAAAAGACAACTACAAAAACATGCTTGCAATTTACAATAAATCTATATAAACTCAACCTCAGCTAATAATATCTTATAGAGCAGTATACAGAAGCTACAATAACTTATATGACAAAAAAAATAATATTTTTATCATATGCTTTTAAATCTTTAAAAATATTCAGAAACATTATATCAATATAGGTAAAACTATAATAAGGGATCTCAACAATTACAATCTTTATCCTATCAAAGATTTTATTAAACAAGATTGATACTCCAAACACAGAGTAGCCTTAAGAGTATACAAACTCTTCTAGATTAAATAACTTTTTAGATAATATATAACTAGACTCTTGAAGTGGCAACAGGTCAGGGCTCTCCATAATAAGACAAATAAAAGAAAAAAATTTATATAGTTCTTATATCTTCAATAGCATTTCATCTCTTCTATCTACTCTAACCTTAATATATTAACTCTAAATTCTTTAATACAGATTGAGGTTTTAATAAAGAGTACACCTAATACTTATGCTATATTATATTATATAAAGAACAGCTAGTCTTGAGAAGATGGATTTGTGACAAACAAAATACAATTAAGATTAAACATAATAATACAACAGACAATTCATCTCTAATAGTCTATCAGAAATACAGTATAATTAATATATCTGACAATAAAAGAGATATCTGCTATATAGAAAGCCTCAAAAATATCTCCTTCAAAATATCAATCTATAATAATATCAGTCATATAACTCTCTATTTACCTCAATAAAAAATTGTTTACAGATCTTACTGAACAGTATCACACATTTTTGTATAGAATTTAACCAAATTTTTGATAGCATAGAAATTAATAACACATCACATACTCTTCAAGATCTCTTTCAAGTAATCAATTTTTATAATACCCTCAAATAATATTCTACTGATACCTACAAACATATTAGAGAACTCAACAATATTCATATATATATATAGTATATGAAGCCTATAACTCAGCTAGAAACCTGAACATATATAACATAGACTCAACATTACTTACAATCTTAATAGTATCACAAAAGTGAATATATAACTAATTAAATAAGTATCTATATATCAAGCAGAAATAATGATAGCAATAATAGTAATCATAATCAGTAAATCTAGATTCTCCATCACAATTGAAATAGACTACTCTCCCTTATAAGTAAATACAACTTCTATACAGAGAACAATATAAAAAAAATTAAAGAACTGTGATTAATTAACAATCTATATATTATAGCAAAATATTACTAGATCCTTATTCAATAGATCAAAATAAAAAAAAGAGACTAGTCAGATAATCACCTCTTTACTATAGTAGGTATACTTGTTTAATAACACAATATAAACAATATAACAGATATCCAAGAGCATCTTACTAATACTACCCTCTACACAAGTATTTTTCCTTTATATTATTAAAATCAGATAGAATTTATCCCACCTAATAGAAAAGTCCTTAAGAGTATAAGACAAGTTCAAAAATAGACTACTCTTAATAGAAACAATAAACTTATGAATTAGTAGGTAACAGATATTGATTGAAAAGAATTAATTCAGAAACTTTACCTCTTCAAACTCATGAGTAGAATCACAGATACTTGTGACCAATTATAAAGGAGTTTTGTAATCAAGCCATGGAACAAAAAACTTCTTATAATAGACTAACTATATATTAAAAGGCCAAACTTATATAAGTTTAATATTTGCTTTGCCTGCCTTAAGTGAAAAATAACTCATATTTTTTTGAATATTTCTTTTATGAAATTGATATTAAAGTAGTGATCCTTAATATTATTTATCAAAAAATAACTGCAAAACTAGAAAATAATATCAAATGCAATATTTGTCAGAAATTCATATTAGCTATAATATATAATAATATATGAAACAGAGTTGTCTTGGATGAAATCAATAAAAATATTATCAAAACTATTAGCAATTACATTAAAGTTGCATAAATATTAGAAATTATTAGTAGCATAATCAATAGAGTTTGATTTTGAACATATAATATATAAATAGATAGATATGACTGACTTTATCAATAGGAAAAGTAACAAGAAATTACAATAAACAAAATGTGAAAGAAGCAAAAAAAAAACTTCAATTCAAGAGAAGATCTCTTTTAACTGATTATCAATATTTTTAAGAAAATTTATAGCATCTACAAAATATATAAAAAATATACTAATGATATTTAGATAAACAGTATTAGTTCGTACAAAGAATAACACACTACAAGGGTTCAATAGTTCAAGCTCTACCACCAACAGTAGTAGTTATCTATTGGATCAGATAACAATTGCTTTGTTGTAATTATATACATTATAATAGATACATAAGAAAAATGTCTGTACTATAATTTGTATAGAACTAAGTAATATACATTTGTATAAAATTTCAATAAAATGAACTATATTGTATGTTAACAAAAAAAAAACTTTTTGAATTTCTCAAGAAAATTTTATTACATAGTATCTTTTTTGAATATAATTGGTCAACATTTCTCAAATACTGTATTAGAGAATCTATTACAATTATCAACTTTATTTTAGAAGATATTAGAGAAAAATATCAACTATATTACATATTATTTCAGGATATAAACAAGATATATAATTTTATTACTATATAAAGACTTAATATTACTATAACTAATGATGGGTTCTTAAAGTATTTAGCATATAAAATTTTGCAGATTACTTATGTTCTTTTTTGAGGAACAAAATTCATAACTCTTTACTTCAATAAGGACAAAAATCAGGAAATGCTATAAATCAATGTTTTGAATAATGGAGAATAATTGTAGATAGTTTTTTTATAGTTATTAATTTAAAAATTTTAATATTTCCTAGTGAGGGACATTTGACTTAAGTCCCTGCCTCCCCCTTTAGGAACCCATCTTTAACTATGACATATATTAAAATATTAAAAAAAAATAGAAATATAATTAACAATTGTTTTGTCAATAAATTTAATTTTGTTATTATCTATTATAATAATATTAAACCATATTTTATAGCTGAAGACATTAACCAGGAGAACATAATATTCCCTATTTTATAAAGAATCTATTATAACTCACTTATTACATAAATAAATAAGGCAAAAAATTATCAATTAATATGTTAAAAATCCAAATTCAAAAACTTTGTCACTAGAAACATCAATATATAGTATTAATTGTAGTATATATGAATAATATATCTTTTATAATTCAAGTTCTGATGATTTAAATAAAATTATTCACATTGGTTATTTTTCTATTACCTCAATAACATTATAATTAATCCTTATAAATCAAAACTACTTATATTAAATACATCCAAAGATACCAGAATTATTAATAGTAAACCTTTATATTCAATTAAAAAAAAGCTAGCTATCTGAGTTCTCAGGATTTGACATGAAAACATATTAGATAAAACTTATCAAAAACAACTTATCAAAGATAAAATCAATATTATCTATAAAATCTTAACTAGAAAACATATAACTGATAAAATATATAAATATAATATTAATAAAGTGCTATTTTCAATATTCAAATATCTATTATAAGATCTTATTTTAACAAATAATAATAAATAATATAAATAGAAAAATAAAAAGATATTGTTGGATTAGTATAATTTTCACCAAGCAATATACTTTATTAACTACTCAATATAATATCATAAAACTCAAAATTAGATAAATGCAAAAGTATATAGACAATCTACAAAACTTATATGCAAATAAAAACATGACCAATTTATTTAAAAACCTACAAATATATACCAAAAAACTGGATAATTCTACATTACATTTTATCAATTTTAGGTGACACAATCTATTGCAAATATGATTGGTGGACACGAAACACTTTAGTAGCTGAATGTAAACAAGTCCCTACTGGTGATTGAAAGAGTTGATTGGTGTCCCATATCCACCCCATATAAAAATAAAACCACCCATATTAATTACTAGCATATTACTTCGTATCCATCTATATGTGTAAAAAAAGAAAAGTGGATTGCCGGGATACTATCAGACTCATCCAATAGTAAAAAGTGCCCCGAAAGACTCATCTCTCGGGAATTCAGACTTATCTTAGCACTTTCGGCAGTTAGTGACGGGAATATAACAAAATGCATTCTCCGGACTCATCCTAGCATTTGGTACAATCCCGGAATAAACGAAACAAAACAAAATAAAATAAAATAAAAAGCCAGACCTCAAATGACTTCATACAACACGAGACCAACTGTTGAACAAGTTCACCATCACGAGACTTAAATAATTGTGGTTTTAGACGAAGCTTCTCCAAGCAAACCTTATATAATAGGTGTTCGTCTTGTTTATCACCGAAATCTTCTGCAAACGCTATGCTCATTGTTTTCGAAATAAGGAAGTCTAGATTTCCAACGCGTTTCAGAGGTGGTCATGTTTTGATTATAATAAGGAGTCACATTACAATAGTCACGTTGGCATGAATATTGTTCATGTGATCGGCAAGATTTTTATATACGTTTTGAATGTCACATGAGGTTGAGCATTATGCTTTTTAAATCATATCGTATATGTTCTTCGCTATTGCGAGAAGAGCTGGCTAATTAAAATTGAATTGAGAAGCAGGATTTAAAGGAGGAATTAGCCGGCCCCTAGACCTCTCGCAATGCAAGAATGGCAGTTCCTTTCCCGCTACTCACTATTAACTGGTTTGCTATCAATCAAAGCACTTATTTGATCTAATTTACTGCCTTTTAAATCATTAATTCTACGATAATAATTTTTGATTATATCTTTACCAAGTTTTCCCGCCCCAAGATTAAGAATACCAACGGCTACAATACCACACATATCATTTAAAGAACACGCTTTTTCTGCCATAATTCTATCAAAAATAATTTTAAATTGGTTCCAAATTTCTGAAGTCATACCTGAAAATGATTGTTGACTCGAATCGGGTTGTTCTGCTTCCTCGGTAGGCTCAATTATTTTGGGAGAAATGAAACTTTGTGCCTGGATAACGGCATAATATCGATTGATTTAATTTTGGAGTTGCGACTCTACCAAAATTATTATGGTAGATTTGAAGGACTTGTTCGATTTCGTTATACTGTATTTCCCAGTTATCACGTTAATGATATTCTGTGTCTCCATTGCATAGTTAGCATCTAATGATTTAGGTTCCGTGTCGATATGATGATATGTATCAGAATTTGAAGCATTAGATGCGATAACATCCTCACTTCGTGAGTTAGTTACATTAGAATTTGAAGCATCATCAGATATATCAGATACAGAATCACTCAATTACGCAACTCTGCCTCTAAGCTCATCATTTTCGACTTTAAGGTTAGTGGTATCCATTTTATTTTTCTCTATCTCATCATTAATTTGTTTTAAAAGCTCAGTATTCTTGGCCTCAAGCTCAGCCTTTTTAGCCTCGACCTCAGCATACTTCTTTCTAAGTTCGTTAACCTCAAGTGTAAGCTTGGCATTTAATTCTCTTAACGAAATAATTGTAGATAAATCTTTCGATTCGCCTCTTTTGGCCTGTGTGTACCTGACATTTATTATATAAAATGTGATATATTTAATTAATCATACGAAATCAGAAGATCACTTTTGCCAAAAACCGTTTCCCAGGGAAACAATCAGAAAAAAATTTTTATTAATATATGTAAAAATAAATACAAAGTTCGGGACGTAACCCAGGATACACGATCATCTAACCCGACTCTTCTGTGAGATTACTTGATGACCTATGCTTTTTTACTACCCTCGGTTGCCCACCACCCTGTAAATCTTCCGCCGACTTCTGCGCTTCTTCCAGTAGCCAGGCTATATGACCTAGAACCCTTTCAACCATACCCTCCATATCATCACTGACATACACAACGACTACTGGTTTGATAGTTTGAATTTTGGCTTTTCCAACTCATCGAGCGAACATTCTAAAAAATATCATTTTCCGCATCTGTGACAATTCCAAACGCCTTACCTACAAACACACCTTTATCTATCTCGCTGGCCTTACGCTTACGGTTTGATAAAGCGAACTCGAGCTGAATGGCATTCTGAGCAATACCCTTGTAAAAATCTTCGTCCTTTACTTCTGTCACTCCGACAGTTTTTGCAGTTTGGAGTAAATCTATTGCGAAATCGACGGGTCCGTGGCCATTGGGTCCTGTAATATTTTTTTCTGGTCGAATCTCAAACTTCCCTTCGTATAGATTCGCACCCGCAACAAGGTAAGAACACACGTATTGCGATTTTGATGCTCCATTTCCACTGATTGGAATAGACTTGAGACGGGCCTCCAGTTCGGCTATAAAGATGTTTAAGTATTGCCTGGGAAGATTCGTCTTTCAGATTTTTGTACTCACACGTAAAAGGTGGGAAAACTGATAATGATGGATCATCCGATTCGGCAAGTCCGTAAAGCTGACACACCTTTGAGAATGACCAATCTGAAAATGCTTTTGAGGGTGTTTCTATGGACACTAAACTTGAGATTATTCTTTGTTACAAATATGCGAAGCATCTCACGAAGGTCTTGATCGTTACGAAGGAAGTATTTTCCGCTATCATTTAACACTTTGAGTTCCGCCCCATCATTTTCAAGCGCGGGTGGTTGATACATCTTACGTATATAATCTTTGAGGCCTTCGAGGGTCGCGTGTTCGATATTTGCAGTCCACTTATTTGGCTTCCGTTTCGGGTGGACGGCGACATCGAAGTCTGCAATGCAATGACAGAGTTAGTAAAAATCCCACGAAGTCTCTCTACCCTTCCCATTATTTTGCTGAAAGCAGTCATTTCGTGGTTATACGTACCATAGACAGAGTAATTCCTGTTCACGGTTCGAAGTGGCGGTTGACGCTGGCGATTCGACGATGACATGGATATGTTCCTCAGCAGGTGAGTCAGAAAAGTATTTCGAAATCTTTCTCGTTGCTAAAAGTTCGGCATCGTCTTGGAATGAGAGATTTCTCAGCTGATCGTGATCGTCAGGAATTTCTACCTTCCTTAGCTTGAGCTTGTCTGCGTCCACACCAGCGAAGTCATTTTGTTTTTTCGCCTTTATAGCATCCTTGAGGTGACTAACTTGCTACCATCAATATCAACAGCGAACGCATGTACGGACGTATTTCCTTTGACAAGACATACGAGAGTGATAGACATATTTTCGGTTTATATAGTTTTTTTGTGAAATGTTATGGCTAGTGTTGGTTATTAAGAGAAAACAACGTTTGTTTAGTATATGTGATAAATCGTAGGTCACACAGATTACATAATTAACTTTGCTAGTTAAAACGTGACGTGATTGCTTAATTCTTATATGTTCCTGCAATAAGAAAAGTATGAATGGGATCCGAAAAGGGACAATCTTTACATTTAAAAACTAGTGATGACTTGTCATTTCTGATCATGTGATTGGCTAAAATAGGCTGACTGTTTATGATCTTTTTTTTCTTTATTATTACTGTTGCTATGTTCTTCTTGGTTGCCAGTTATCTGATTGTTGACTGTTGTTAGTGTGGATGCAATGGTGTATTGAAATGAAAGCTATTAATACTTGGATTGTTGTCCCTATGTTTTCTAGGAAGTATTAGTTCTTCTATGTCTCTCTTCTATAAGTTTCTTGATTCAGTTGACAGTTTTTTCAATTCTTTATATTAAAGGAGAAGTGTGGCCTTATTTTTCCAGTCTGGTATATACCTGTTGCCAAGAGAGGAATCCCATTTCATTGTTATTAAGAAGCTAGTCAAAAAATAGGATTTTTCTGCACCTGAGAGAGTTTTTATACTTGTTGTACTATTTCTCTAAAACTATCTCTTTGATAATTCTTCTTTCCTTTTTAACTGTTTTTTCAAACCATGTATGTTCAAGTATGATTTCCTGACATTTTAGCATGCTTAATATATTATTTGTCAAATTTTTCCTTCTTTGAAATTAATAGAGTAGTCTATCCATTAAAATTGATATATTGGATCAATATTTGTTCTATAGATACTGTAGTCTGATTTGTGTTGTTCTTTCTTCTAGATTATAACTAGTCAATCTGTAAAGTAAGTTTTTTCTATACATAAAAATCTGTCCATTCTATAAGTTGAAAAGCTTATATCCAAAGTTTGAATGGATGATACTTTTTAGCATTATTGTGGCTAGTTCTACTTTATGTTTGAAGACTTTATTTGTTTTCTACCTAGTTTATCGTATTCCTCTTCTGATAGAACCAGGTTATTTAAGAGATATTTAATTGCAAGAAAGAGAGCACGATTAATGATGTATCTTATTTGTTTATCTACGATCTTCTTCCATATCAGAATTCTAGTGATTATCTCTATTTTTTCTTTAATAATATTTTTTTGATACATTTTTTTCTATTTTTTAAAATTTATACTACTAGAATTCTTGTTACTTTATTATTCTGTAATGGTATTACCTATATTCTGTTTAGTATAATTCTTTTCTCCCAATGTTCTTTACTTACGTTAAAGCAGATCAGTAAGAATTTCTCACCATTAACTTGTATATTGTTAATCTTTAAGAACTTTGCTACTATGTCTATAATGGTTTGCATACTAGCTTGACTGTTTATGAACCATGTAATAAAAGATATATTAGATTGTATTTATATTTATTGAAGAGAATATTGTTTAGAGTTATTCTTGTAAGGCCTAGCTTATATTTGAAGACTGTTGTAATACTACTTATAAGAAGGTTATATATCTTTTTTAAAAGAATCTGTTATTGTACAAGTATTTTGCATTAGAAATTAGAATGTGACTTATTATATACTGCATTTATTTGTCTGTCAGTTATTTCATTTCTATTAGTTCCTTAGTTTTTCTAAACTTTTGTTGAATTAAGGTTTTTGAATAATCTTTTTTCCCTAAGCTATTATATCAAACTTCAAAAATTCTTACTGAAACTCCTTGTGGACAACCTTTGATAATTTGATCCTCTATTTCTATATTTTGTTTAAGATCATTGTCTTTCTTATTAATAATTAGTAGCTAAAATTTCTGTAAATTGATTTTGATGTTGTTTATCTTATAAAACTCCTTAGCTTTTTTAATAATTTATTATAACTATTCACTATTATCTGTAATCCATATAGTCTTATCTATATGGACATTAAATGTAATATTTACTTTTTATTTGTTTACTCTAGCTTGAAGTCTCTATAAAGCTTGGTTGATATTATATAGCCTGTGAAGATTTTTTCAATTGTTGTAATTAATGGATTATAAAAAATTTACTATAGTAGTGAAAAGATTGTATCTATTTTAATAATATCATCATTGACCTCATATTCCTCTATAGAGTTGTAATATATTAGGACTATATTTTGTCTCTAATTGAAGATATTATAAAAAATATTGATTATTTGTATTAAAATCTTTATATGTTCTAAGGCCTTAGTTAGTATTTCTAAATTTACTAAGTTATATGTTTTTAACATGTCTTAATTAATGATTTATACTTGTTTCTTTGTTTTTTTGATATTGTCAAAGATTATATAGATGACACAATTTATATATAACAATCTAAAACCTAAAAACTTGAAAGTTTGATATGAAAGATTGAGTATTACAGGGTAAGAAACTATAAATTGAGACTCAGATATCAATAAGGGAACTATATATATATTATAGAATATAAAAAGTTTTAGTAAAAGTTTAGAGTTAGTATAGCCTATTATAAAGTAGATAGTTTATTGTTAACTAGAAAAATATAAATAATCTATCAATATAAGTCAAGAAGGTAATACTAAATATGTTAAGACAATTCTTATTAAGAATAGATATAATAATGAGTATTATTCAAAAGAAATAGAATATAAATAAAGAAATATTTACTCTTGGCCAAGTCAATCACCATATATCTGCCTTTCCTAAATGTTCTTTACAGAAGATATTTTCTTTTTTAGTATTAGTTGTGAGTATTGTTGGTTATTTGGATTATATGAGGTACTACAGATTGGTGATAAACTCATCAGTTTAGTTCACAATAGCATATTCAATAATGTTATTTATTATATGAATTGTTTCTTGTATACTGCAGCCTAAAAAAGCAGCCCAGTTTAGTTTTGATAGAATTTTGTTTTTTTTTTAGATATGAGGTAATTCTGTCTGTTAGAATTTTAATAAAAAATTTTTTCCTATATTTAGTAGTGTGATTAGTCTTGTTATATCAAATTTGTTCTGCCAGTCTTTTGGTTTGAATATAGGATAAATAACCCTTTATTTTACTCCTTGAGTATAAAGCCTTTTTTGATAATTTAGTTAAAGAGATTTTTGAGTTCTTGCAAAACTGGTTTGCCTAGTTTCTTGCATGCTAGATAGGAAATCTAATTTTTTTTGAAGAGAACTTTACACTTCTATTCTTAATTATGCTTTTTAACTTCTTTTTGAATATTTCAGTTAATACTATATTATACTATCTATGATCGATATTGTCCTTGAACTTATATTTTTTTTTCTATAAAAAGTGATTAACTATTGCTATAATGTTTCTTGTTGAGATCCAGTCTATAAAGTACTGTTTTAATATGGTTTTAATCTTCTCTAGTTCAGTCAAAATATTAACTCTTCTCCTTTTTCTATAATTATTTTATCTAAAATAATGGATCTTTTGTATCTATCTATAATGTTATTTATCATTGCTTTTTTATTTATTGCTATAAAAATTTATCAGATTTCTATTCTTTATTTGATGGCCTGATTTCTTCTTCTCTATATTACTGCATAGATTATAACTTTGTGAACTCTTATTATTTTTGTATATATATAAGCCAATAAGATAAATAGTCATTTGAATGTGCCTTCTCAATTTTTTCTATTTGTTGTTTAAAATCTGTTAGCTTTCTTGAAAAAGTTTTAATATGATTGAAGGTGAGCTGTTTGTTTTTAAGGTCAACTTTATTTTGTTTCTAAAAAGTTATAGTTGAAGGATTGGTCTCTATACCGGCTTGCCTTATTTAAATATTCTTCTTTTTTGATATTGTTTCTTTTTAGAAATGTATAACTTTACTACTCTAAGAATATAATTTTGTAGTTTATTCTATTGTTTTTTATAGATATTGACTTAGATTTTTGTTTACTTAGAAAGCTTTCAATTTCTAGTGCAAAAATTTTATATTATTCAGTGTTTATTAGATGCTAATTGTATCTAATGTTAGGTTTATGGTGAATTGGCTCTTTATTGAGTCAAGTTGTTATATTTCTATTTCTGTTGTGACTAATTTAAGGTCACTAAAAATGAGAAGATCGAAGATTTCACTAATGTAAGCTTTTCTACTTTGCCAAGTGGATAGTATATTCATCCATATTTAATCAATTCGGCTGCTGCAAGTATTACAGCTCTAGAAGAACTCTCTTTTAGTAGAGTTATGTAGTCTATAAATATTTTCTAGACTATAGTTCATGAGAATCTCCATTTGGAGGCTTAAGGACCTATTAATTATATTTCTTCTATCTATATATTTCTACCTCAAACTGAGTTGAAAACACTATTTAGATCTTCCAATACTAAAAGATGTTAATCTTTTTGAGTAGCTTCCTTAATTCATTATTTTAATTAATTTAGAATATCTTGTTAATTCTTATTTCTCTATTAAGCTAAAAATTATATTTTTATTATTTTTATTTTATTTTTTTGTAAAAGTCAGGTTTATATGAATAAGTCTTCCTGACTATATGTTATACTTGAAAACTCTTTTTGTTATTTCTTTGTTAAGCATTATGTTTATATCTTGTCCTATCTTTATTTTTTCTATAAGACCATATTATATTATATTTTAGGTGTTTTTAATATTTGGATTAAAGATATATTTTATTCATCTCTCTTGTTGCCACTATATCCTATTTCTTTATGATACCAGGTAAACTAGTTTTTTCTTTTTTGATCCTTTATAAAACTTTAAATATTATAAGTTGTTACTTATCAGATAGTATTTTTAAGGTTTTCTATTATTTTATTGAATTATTATCTGTTATGTGCTATGTGAAATTTATTTGTGAATTAATGGATATGTTGATATTGTCTGTGTTATAAATATTTGTGTTTTCTGTTGAAAGAATATTGCTATTGTTTGTAATATTCTCTATATCCTGACTTATTAATAGTTAGAAGTAAGTTAGGATTTATTCAAGTTTAGAGTATTTGTTAAGACA